AGTATCCTGTGTTAAGTTCACTGAAGATATCACCTGAATAACACAGGAAACAAAGTCAGGCATGGTCTGAGAAACACTGTGAAAGATGCAATCCCTTTTGTTCAAGGAAATGTTTGACAGCCTAACGAAATTCAAACAAACGATTCACAGCCTTTCCTCGTGAGAGCCACCTTAATTCAGTATGGTACAGAAAGACTTCATAGCTTTCACCCATCTCTTTAAAAAATTCTTTGAAAAAAACGACAATTAAAGTCATTTTCTTTGATGAATTTGTATAATACTGTACCTGAATATAAATAGCACCCGGGGGATAGCAAATAGAGGGTAGGGTGGCAGGTAGATGGAGGGGGAGTGTACAGCTGCTGAGTGAAGTCAGCTGTGCGGGATAAAAAATACTTATAAATAGAACTTTTCTTCATCAACATACTATTACCCCCCAGAATTTGTTGTCTTAACCCCAGGGGGTAATTTACCTCCAGGTTGGGAACCACTGGTAGAGGGTGTATGTACAGTATACAGTGTGTGTACAATCCCTTCTTTGTGGAGGGAGAGGACAGTGACAGTTGGCTACACCTGCTACAGTAGTTGTTACAGGACAAAGGCAGGCCATCCTGTATCACCATTTGGTCTGCCTGCATCTCAAGCTCAGGATGTCAGTATCAGCTGGTGAGTACAGTATGGTGTATACTAATATATTTTGTTTATTTTTTATTTTTTTGTATGTGTACAGTGGTGTTTGCATAAATAAATAGTGTGCAGCTGTCCAGTACAATACTGGGTGGAAAATTCCAGAGGGTGATGGGGGGTTCCGAGTCAAGCTGCCATAGAACACCAAACCTACTGTAATTTTTAACTTAAGTTTATTAGTCTCAGGGTATTTATATGATATATGAATGTTAATTTATTTGAACAAACTTTTAGATAAACTCTTTAGGATTATTTAATTAAAAAAAAAAGGTGTTTCTACAGTAATTAGAACTGAGATTATAGACTCCGGTATAAATATTTTTATGTTTTTCATAAAAAATTGAAGTCCCCATCATTATATCACATCAAAATATTTTGTTTAAGGAAGTTTTATAAAACAGTGTTGTAGAGAATTTATTCAGGATCATTATGGTACCAAAATCATCTTTCAAGCACAGTTAGAACAGATGCTATGGATAAAAGTTTATACTGTACTGTATACTTTTTTGCTTGTCGTAAATCTTTTCACTCGAGACCACATCATAAATGTAAGGAGAGAGTGTCTGTCCGTGTGAGATGGATAATTTAGACTCGTGGAAATCTTTCCCCAGTACAGTGCCCTGAAAAATTCCGGGATGAGAAAATTCATCTCCATAACTGGAAATCTCTCGGTCCCAGAACTGCTCTGCACCCATTGTATAGGCTAATGGTGATATCACTGTAAATCAAAAATGAAAGTTATGGTAGGCAAGAGGGAACTTAAATGTAAACTTTTGTGTAATTGGGAAGTAACATTAGTTGTGATGGTACATGTGCAAAAGAAATCACATCAAGAATAGGTCAAGCAGAAACAGCTTTTAATAATTTAAAAGACTTAATGAAAAGGGACAATAACTTCGCTTTGAGAAAAAGGTTACTGAAAGGCTGTATATGGCAAGGACTGTTGTACATGTCAGAAGCATGGACACTTTCAGCAGACACCAGAAAGGGGTTAGAGGCCTTTGAAATGTGATGTTATAAGCGGATGTTAAGAATAAGTTACTGACAGGAAAACAAGTGAAAAAGTACTAAGATTAGCAAAAACCTCAAGAGAAATACTTGAAATGAACAGAAAGAGAAATATTATATACAGTACAGTACTTTGTTCATATAATTAGGGTGAGGGCATAATAACAGAAATACTAATGGGATAAAATTAAGGGTAGGAGGGCCAGAGGAAAGCAGAGACCTGGTTGAATGAATGAAATTAAAAATTGCATCCCCAGATAGATGCAGCATCTTGGAGGTTTGGCAAAAACAACCCAAAAATATTTAGATTGGGGGGAACTGGTTGCCAACCCTCATATATGAGGATGGCACTGATTGATTGATCTCTCTTACTGATAATATAAGCTGTGAATAGAGAGTTGAAGGTTGAAATGTTATTTTGTTGCCAAGGAAAATTGAGGAGTACCTGATTTTCTCCTTCCTCCCATGGTTGGCTTCTTAACACTCTTGGGTTAGGGTATGCACTGATCAGGGTCTGGCCTCTACTCAGCTCACTGCATTTGACTTCACCACACGAGAAATAATTGTACATAATGAGTCATAGCATTGGTGTAAATAAATTATCTACTGTACATACAATTTTACTGTATATAAGTAATCATAATAAAATAATTATGTCTACATGTAAGCGCAAGTAGAACACAAAACTTTTGTTTATGCTTAATGAAAATGTTTATACAGTACAACACTTTATACGTTTGTTATTTCATGTGATTGCAATATGAACCTTATTCCATTATAAAATGTACATATTTAGGAAAAAAATAGTTATAGAAGGAAAGTTGTGAAAAAATTATATTTTGCTAGGGAGAGGCATCAGGAGGCACTACACTCACTATGTGGTGCAATCTCTTTGTACGTTGTATGTTTTCCCACCCTTCCACCCTCGCCAGCAACACGAAGCATGGCTCAAAACTATCACAACTTTGTTATGAATGATTGAAATCACTCTGTTGCATGAGAAATCAGTACAAGCTGCAAGAAAATGCTTGGGAAATGTAGATCAACATTACATCCTGGCTCCTTTAAACACAAAGGGAGACTGGTGTTGTAACCTTGGAGTACAGTCTACATAGGTGCCAGGTCATGCTGACATTTTCATATTGTGTGTCTAGTGCTCATACACAAAAAAAAAAATATTTCAGTTTTTTTCTTCATACACAATTTTGCGTATGAAAACCCTAAAGCAATAATTTAGATCATACGCAATTTTGCGTATGAAAATCCCTAGAGTTTTAACTGGCAGCATGCATGAGGTCTCAAAGCCCGGAGCCACCTTTATTGCTGAAAAGGGTTTAATTGCAATTTTGAATGTAACTGGTTTACCCAGAGCTTCAATGCTGCTGGAAGCAACCAGTGGGATGAGTTTGCAGTATTTTTGTTTTGTTCCTGATTCACTGGGCAGGGATTTGCCTGGATATACAGTACCTGAAACTGATTGTACAAGACATTGTATCTTGTCACTGGAAAATGTCAAGTCCCGTCTTTGGCAGGCTCTGTCAATGGTTAGTTTTAGAGAAGTTACCTTACAGGTCACTCATCTCTTCCTCTCTGCTATAAGATGGGATGTCATCCCCCAATACTTCAATTATCCGTTAAAAAAAGGTTCAGTTTGTTCATCTCGGCATACAAAAACCTTTTAAACCTACTATGTTATAGCATTAATATTTTAGACATTTTAAGGTTATTATGGCCTTGACAGTCATAAACTAGACAATCATTAATAAAACTAACATGTACTGAATAGGGGAAGATGGTAGAGGAATAACATAGACTAGTTAGACAAAATAATTGATTGTCATTGATAAATAAAATTTTTGAGTTTTATGTAATGGATGTATATTATGAATATAGTAAATGATACTGAAACAAATAGGAAGAGAAAAACAAAACCTCATCATGAGGTACTTGAAGTTGGTTGAGTGACACAGCACATGGGTCTTATGCTATAGGGGCAGGAGTGTATCTGTGACAGTGGCTTCTTAGAGGCCCATAATAAATAAACTCCAGATTGAAACCAGTGCTGATTCACTGTCGGGGAGAGTGAGGCAGAAAGCTATTTGAGTTTAGATTCAATTCTAGGGCCATGTGTTGTATGACCAACACTAAAGAATATTTACAATATGAAAAATGTAAAGAAAAAAAAGCATTTAGCTGTTTGTAGAATATACTTTGAAGTATAATGCTTAGAGAATCTCTTTGGAAAAATTATCAGAGGTGAGAACAGCCTATTTTGTAATTAGACTCAGATCATTCAGTACAGTGTGATCTATGGTATTCTGGATGTTTGAAGTGTTTTCATATTAGTGGAAGGATCAAAAACCATTGCAAAAATAAGCTGTTTTGACATGATTAACTTTTCACTGTACAGGTGTTTCAGAAAAGGTAATTTAGGTGTTCAATTTAGAATTTCTGTCAGCCTAAATACGTGAAAGAACACCTGGAGTCCATTAGACTTTGATGAACACTTCCATCAGAGCCTGTAATATATTTATGACATTTAACACTACTGTCATACCTCTACTATGAGCAATAATGTCTTAAGACACAAAAAAAATATATATTTTATATATTTTTGTACATGTCATCTCCCATCTAAAAAAGATAAAATATTAATAGTATTGGGCTCTTTATACACATCAGGACTTTGGTTGTTGATGGAAGTAAGAATGTATCATCTCTGATTGTTTAGTTTGATTGTAGTGTACTTGTCATAGTATTGGAGCTTGCTTGCTTTTGTTTATAAGTAATGGCAAATTCATAATGTATCAAAGTTAATGAACAAGTGTGTACAGTACCTGTACAAGAATGGACAGTAAAAGAAATTGTGTGGATGTTGATTACACTACTTTATTAGTTTAGTAATTTTGTGTGTGTGTGTGCACATTATATATATATATACCGTATATATATATATATATATATATATATATATATATATATATATATATATATATATATATATATATATATATATATATATATATATATATATATATATATATATATATATATATATATATATATATATTAGTGTGTTTTACTTTTGCTTCTAAATAAGTACTGTACATTATATTTTTGGTGACTTGTTTTGTCAATTGTGCAGCAAAATTGATTTTTTTTTAAGTAAGGCAGCTTTTTTCATTTAACCTGTTTTGGTACATAACCTCAATGCAAAAGTCCTGAGATTACCCCCATACCTAATTCTGGCCAGGTTTCCATTGGTTAAATACCTGGAGTTAATCTCTGCCATCTTTTTTCTACAGTTTTCTAAAGGACCTAAGGTTGCAAGAGGAACAACTTTGCTGTATGACGTAAGTCAGTGCTCACCTCCCACTTCCTCTTTCCTGCATTGACTTTGGGTTATCTTATAATCATTTGCTGCCTTTTTAGTTTGTTTTCTGTGGGCACCCTTGCTTGGGGGCATTTCAGTTGTTAGCTGTGCTGCTGCTCCATCATGTATGTTTGTATCTTGTTTTTGGTTGTTATCAGAGGTGGAATCAAAGGGAGATAGTATCTGTGTTTTGGTTTCTTTGCATAATGATATGCATCAATTGGGTCTCATAGTCAGTATTTAGTACTGTACAGTAATATATATTGGACTGCAGTGATAAGCATGCATATGAGATGGGAGAAGTTACAAGATGATGCTTCAATGGAATTATCAATAGCATTTATCTCTATTTCTGCACCTACCTTATGTTAATGAAGTACATGGAACTTGCATTACATGAAATTATTATTCTGTAATGGTAATAGCTGCTGGGGATACCAATTGGATCTTACGAACAATAAGGTCCTGGTCACAGTCTACATTTGTCTTATTATTTGAAAAATAAATGATTGATCAAATAAAAAAAAAAACGCGTAAGACATGTTTGGTGTAACATGTACGAGTGCTTAGAATTTTTCATAAGACCCGGTTCATCCATTACCCTCCATTTAGTCAAAGATGGACTACAGTACTTCTAATTGATATAAACACATTGTCTTGAAGATACTTTCTTGCATATATTATTGTGATAGGATAATATACCTGTAGAAAAGTTGCAAATTTGTTTGCAAATGTAAAATTTTTGTGTTGAAATGTGAAGTACACCATATGTCACTTTGTTACTTTAATACTAAAAATGTATATATAAAAATTATACGTACAGTACCATATGGTAATATAAACCAATCTTGCATTTTCAAATACTATAGAAATTAAGGTACAGTACAGTACAGTATATACCTTTGTACTTTACTGGTAAAAATTATCACATGTGCTCTTACTAGTTAAGAGTGCTTTAAGAATACTTAACACTAACATAATGTTTTGCTGCTGTAGAATTTTTTAAACTTCTTTGGTCTTGGTAAGTAATTAGCATGAATGCTGTTACAAACAATTAATATACATTGGACTGATTACTATGCATAAGAATTTGACACTGGATCTGCATCAATGAATGAGGGCGTGTTTATTGGCAAATGCTGTACTGTAAGCTGAAGCCAAGGTTTCCTTCTCGAACACTAGTATATCATTGTTAACTGATAACTTACTCTTTGGCATATGAACAAGCTTGCTTACCTCTGTCACTATCAGTGAATATACTTGGTAAGCCTTGATATTTATATTTTTATGAAGGTAAAGTTAATTAGTAAAGTAGAATGAAAGGTTTCAGCAGTATATTTCTTTATAAAAACATTAAATATTAACATTAAAAGGGTAATAAATTATCTACTGAGAATTTAAGAATAAGTTGTATCACTTTTAATTTAAATGTATCATGCATTTGAATCACAATACTGTACTGTACTTCATTCATTACATCTACGTAACATTTAACCCTGTTTGAGCTGGCACCAACATGGAAAGTAAAATTAAGATGAATATCTCTGGCAGGCTGTTCACATACTACATACAGTAGTTTAACATTTACCAACTACATTCATTTGTTTCATCATATATCATTTGCAAAAGAATTCAAAACAAAAAAGTAACTTTATGCATGTAAGCTGTTGAGAAACCACCTCAGGCCCTGGATTGCCATTCAAACTTTCCATTCTGAAGGATGTCACCCAGATCAAGAGTGGGATGACCTATGCAGTAAAAAGATACTGTACATTTATGTAACATTTTACTTTGTATATACTATACATATTTGTGTATCTGTTTGATTTCATAATACTCCAGTACACTTACAGATATTGGCATGGCACAGTTCTTAATGATATTTATGTGTACTATTTGTATGGTAATTTTCTTACATTGTATATGTTTACTGAATTAGTTTTCTGTCACCAGAAAAGATGATTCAGCAATGCAGTTGATTGTCCCATATTCTTATTGATCTTTCTAACTTCATGCCCACCACTATCTGGCTCTCATAAAAGTGCACACCAAGCCATAACATCAAGACCCAATAGACCTTTAACATAATTGGCTAGGGACTAATCTTATGATTGCTCATCCCTTCCTGTTTCATCTGTCACGTAAAGGGAGACTGGAGGAGGAGAAGATTGCCATTAAAAACTGGGGGTCAAGTTAGAGCTGTGCTTAATCTATTGTGTGTGAAGCATGTTTTGCTGTTGACTGGCCACCATCTTGAATTTTGGGCACAATCCCTCATTCAGTCTCCAGCCTTTCCCTGCATGGTATTAAATGGATGAGTATCATCAGTTATCATAGTTAAATCAAGGAGTGAAGATCAAAATATTACCTTTGTTAATTTTGCTTTCCAACGGATGTTGACGTGACTCTTCTTAAGTGTTGTAGGTCTTACTTAATGAAGGGATCAGATTTCATAGACAGGTAACACAGTTCCTCTTATAGGTAACATTACCTTACTATGACATGGACTTGTCCCATGCAAATTGGTCCTACTCTGAACTGGTAAGTAGGATATCTGGAAGATCCTGCTTCAGTTGTTGGTTTGAGGGGTCATTGTACAACCCCTCTTTACAATAATCCTCTGTTAAGGGATATTATTTGCTTAACTATAGGGTTGTCCCACAGGCTTTGCTCCTATTATTTCTCACAAATCTGAAGTAATGCCTCCATTAATGTGTTCACCCTGAGCGGCCCTAACACAAAAGACAGTTTAGTTCCAAGGCTCTTGCAGTTCATTCATGCATAGCTTGTTTGCAACATGAATTATGCTGCTCTGCAAAACTATCTTTATGAAAATTAATGGTTTCAATCAAAGTGCTTTATTTCAGAGAGCTGACATTACACAGCTACTGTACTTAGTTCTGGTAATTTTCTTGCTTCAGCATCTTTTGTTTTGTACTTCACTGTTAAAGTTTCAGTACCTACAACAGAGTTTTTCCTTTGCCTAATGAGAAAGGTTGAACATAGATGACCTTTAAAATTTGGATGGGTCTTTGTCAACCAGGTGTTGCTTGCATAGAGGTGAAATTGTTACTGTTTCTCACCTTATGAATGTAGTCACAGGGTAAGGTTTTTTCAAGTCATTCTGGGTGGGATAAGGTTCTGCACTTTCATTAATGTGAAGACACAAGGGAAGTTTTACTATGAGGCCTTCTCTTGGCCTCAGTACAGAATCAGTAGGTAAATTAGAGATATTGTGGTACAGTATGTGGAAGTAAGTCACATACGCAAGACTGCTTCTTGCAAATGTGGTCATGGATTCTGCTAATCCACCTTTTTTGCTTTATCTCTACTTCTCTTCTCTCCAATACAATTATGCGGTCGTATACCATGTGTGTGTACAAGTTCACCAGGTTTGTTAACTTTTTCAATCTTTGGGAAACATTTATGTTGTTTTCGTCCTTGTTTTCCCTCACCTTGTTTGGATGCAGAAGTCTATGATCTAGCTTGTTTTAGGGGGGAATCAGACAATTCTTTCTTCTGCCTTTCTGTCTAATGCTATACAGTACTTAGCTTTAAAAATAGGGTTCAATGTGACTCTACTGCTGCTACCTCCATATTGTTTGGGAGGGGGTGGATTCGTGATGTTCCGCAGAAGATTTCAGTGGGGAGAGATCTTGCAGGAGCCTGGAGCATCTGTGGGAGACCATCTGTCTCAGTTTCTAAACAAGTCTCTCAGCACTTAAGACTGAGCTCCTTTTGTTAGTTAAGGCCTGGTAATGTACCTCAGACCTTGGGTGATAATAAGGGCACCCTCAACCTCTTATAGCTGAACAGGTGAGCTCTGATAAGCTTAGGGTTATTTCTGTTTGTCAGGTAAGGTGAAACCTTAGGAGGCCTGTGGTCCATACCCTTTGATTTTATTGGTGCTTTCTGGCATGTATTTGTTCATAGGAGCTTTAAAATGTTTTTATCACTGCATCTAAGGAAGTTATAATTTTAGATTAAGGATACTCTTAACCATACTAAAGGCATATCAATGGGCCATCCTTTTAAAGAACTACCTTTTTATCTAAGAAGGGAGCAACTCAGGCATGGTTAGCTTCTTGAGCAAATTTGACCCTTTCCCACTAAGATTAAGTTTGTCCTTGATGTGGCTGACAAACATCAAGTGTATTTCATCTAAAGTTCCTTAGATGCTTCCACAAGGACTTGTTTGTGGGAAGGGTGTGTCAGACCTTGGATGGTGTTTCCCAAGCCCTTCATCTTTTGACACATTAACTTGTAAGAGTCTTTAGTCTCTCTTTTCTTCAAAAGAAATTGATGAGATTCAAGCACTTGGACTACCACCACCTCCCATTTTCAATTTTGTAGCTTGCTGCAATAATGAGTGCTACCTAGTGGAAGTCTTTAGATTAGAATCGAAGATTTATCTTCAAATCCCTTCCTGAAAGCTCATAGCTTGGCAGCATGTACTGTATATCCCCCTTCCTTATTTACAGCAATGGATAGGTGACTAAAATTCAAGATGGTTACTCTCAGCTGATTGGCACAGTGGGTACCTGCTTGGGTAGGCACAGGTCTCGTCAGGCTTGTTGCATTTAATGTCAACCTTTGTTTCCAATCTCCATTTTTTGAGTCATAAATACAGTGGTCTGGTCCCTGAGATATGCTAGGGATTGTCAGTTGATTGAAAATATCCAAAGGAGGGCCACCAGACTGGTGCCTGCACTGCGGCACCTCAGCTACCCTGAGAGATTAGTGCGCCTGAAATTGCCTAGCTTATACTACAGATGGGCAAGGGGAGATCTGATTGAGGTGTACAATCATCTCAAAGGGCACTATACTCAGTCAAGTGCCCTTACCTGGAACTGGCAGATGCAAGCCCAGAAAACTGTGATGAGTAACCTTTTCTGAGTGAGAGTTGTGAACTCAAGGAACAATCTGCCAGAGAGTGTTGTGACAGCATTGAGTGTGAGCTCTTACAAGACCAGAATGGTT